GCCTAATAGGCGCACATGTTTGCTTTCCAATTAAAGCGAAACAATGATATCGCATATCACCTGACGCTAACGACGAAAAATCAGCGCTAACGGTTTCCTTCGTCCGGCGTTACTTGATATCAATTTGCGACGCACTGAAAAGGTACGATGCATTCGTAGAATGTCTTCATTTATTGCGTTTAAAGTCATAAAAATTGTAAGTCTGAATTAATTTCAATGCCATTAAAATGAATGAGGATTCGTTAACTTTAACAAGGTGAATGTCCTAGTAGTCGGAAATGTCCCAATATCCCGCATTAACAAGACACTTGTTTAATATTTATAAATATAAAATCCCCAGAAACAATATATTTAAAAAACTTTGATAAATTAATACAATGAGCTTAATAGAACAAATCAACAATGATTGCTTCTTAAATTCTTCTGACTACTGAGACACTTCCAATTGTTGATATTATTAAGGATTACAGAGCTATCAAATTGCACAAAAATGATTTATAAAATTCAATGCATTTACTTTATATTTTCAGGAACGACGAGAACGGCTTTTTTTCATGCCGGCGTTAATAGTCATCGTTCATTAATCCCGTCGGATTTCGCCGGATCCGATCAGCGGTATATCATCCGCGACAATAGCAACGGAGGATCCTGTTACGAGCTTTGCATGGAGCACACAGTCGTTCGGGCTGAGCGACCAATTAAAAAAGCTATCCCTAATTAGTCGGATAGCCGCGACTTAATTTGATTTGGCTCGAGGAGCCAGGGGCTTTTTCGAGCGTGTCTAATGAGAACCGCGCGTCTGCCAGGATTCGCTCGCTTTCCGGAAATGTACAGTTTTTTTTAGCGAGAAAACATTTCTTCCTCTTGGCTCGTTTTATCGCGTCGCAAATTGTGTCTGTCAACGCTTTAATTTTCATTGCCCGCGGTGAGTTCCTTGAGTTCATAATTACAGCATTTATAATCTTATTGTTTATATAAAAGCACAACTTGATTTAAAAGTTTCTTTGGGCTTTAAATTTCACCGTCAAACAGCTTGACAAGTAAGATTAATTTTTACCTAGAATTTATTGTAATCAATTCTTCAAAGTCGTTAGTGTTTACGATGAGCAAAAAGCTTGTAATAACTGTGTTTATCTGTCAATCAAAACACACGCGATTTTTGGAAACTTTGATGTTGAAACTTTGCGATATGTATTTCAGATATTTCATCGATGCTCGTATGACGCACGCTTACCTGGAAATCTTACCTTGCAATTCAATCAATGAGCTCAGAAAATTGCATCCAATTTTCAAGAACTACAATGTGCGGTCAGCATAATTTATGCTTGAACGCTGAGCAATCAGTGAACACAATATAGGGATGTTATTTCACAATAATATTGAAAGGAAAACATCTTCTTCTCGGAAAAAGAAGGAGCATCTCGAGCTTTTAATAAGACAATAAAGTAATAATAAGGTAATTAACTTTTTCTCAGAGCCTAATGATAAGAAAATTGGCTTTTTTCCCAAAGCTGTTTATGTTCACGATACGTCTTTGCTGTTATAAATGGATTTTGTCATTTAGTGATGAAGCAAACTTTATTGGCGCATTTGTTTAATAAGCATTTACGATCGCGTTGTCGAGTGGACATAAAATTTTAAAATGGAATAATTTACTTTCGAAGAAGCTCTCTTTCGCAGTTCTTCCGCGTTCTTATCGCGCAATAAACCGCAAAAGTCCTTAATCCTGTATAAAGGCATCAATCGAGCGTGTGAGGAAACCACACCCTGCGCGAGTTCTTCGACTTCCTATGGCCTCCCTTTTGCGCCCGAAATCGCCCGAAAAGCGCAATGTCGGGCTTCCCTTCTCGGCTCAATAGAATCAAATCTCGACAAATAAACTCAATGCAAAGACATCTGATGAAGCAAATTTTATATGCTTAAAAAAAAAAGTGAAAACTGCCTGGAGTCTTGTGTCACTAATAATACATGAAGTATACATTTGCTACGAGGCTAATCGATTTTTCACTTTTTGCAGATTCGATCACTGTTGCGCCTGGCATTCGTCGTGTCTTGGCGCAAGCACTGTGCACGCGTCGCTGGCGGACGCGAGAACGGGCCGAGTTCGCTGACCGGGGGCCGACGCGGCGAATAGCAGAGAGAACGCACGCGAAAGAGCCCGCGAGAGAGGCGACCGGAGAGTAGACCGTGACCGTGGCCGTGACCGTGACCGTGGCCGAGTTGTTGCGATCGCAATAGACATTGCCGGCAGCAGCCGCGGCGGTGACGATACCGAATATATCCATGCGGCAAACTATGACTCCGCGGAGACAAGATTCGGGTCGAAAAATGCATCCGGATGCATTCGTCAAATGCAGATGTAGCTCATTCAAAATGAAGTAATCAATAATGAAAGATTTTACGTGAACATTGTGGCAGAAGCACCCCAGTTGCGTCGAAGTCGGGAAACGGAAAGTTTAAGATAAGCATAATGTGCTTAATATTAGCAGCGCTGAGTTTATTTTCTTTAATTTCGAAAGTTAAGCTACTCTTACAAGCTCCTCAGTGCTTATTTTATAATCACGTAACTAAAAGACAAGTGATATGAAACAGATTACCAGATGCAAGCCTCACGTTCGTAATACGCGATATATTTGTAAGCTACCACACTCTATCGATTATCCCAATTTGCTCCAAATGTCAAGAGATATTTATAGGATAGCTCTCTCTCTCTCTCTCTCTTTCTCTGGGGAATATATAAGATAACATATAATCTCGAACAAAGCATAATTTTTTAATGTAAAAATCCATATCAATTTTGCGCATTTCTATAAAATTAAAAAGAATTCTCAATCTCAATTCTCAATTCATATCTCTGCGAAAATACCAACGTTGATAGATAAAGAGAGACACGAGTATTGGCATAAATTGTATATTTGCTATACAGTAATCGCATTTTCGCCGCATAATACAAATGAATACACATGGTTATCGAAATACGATGAAGTACACACAAGTTCTAAGCTCAACTAATCCCAGACAACTCTAAAAAGACGTATTCTTCTCTCTTTCTCTCAGCTTACGAGATATAAATGAATGCACCAAAAGAAATAGTCGAGAAAGGAACCTAGATCCACACCTATTCGGCGACAAGGGTTGACGCTATTGCGGGACACAATCGGAACGACTACACGTCGTAATGGAAAAATATCATGGTTCTTCTGAGTGAGAATGCGAGACGATTCGATTTTACATGGACACGTACGTATACCAATATACTTTGTGTTACTTTTTTTTTCAATGAGGTAACTATTCTCGATCTATTTGTTTCTCTCTTGAAGCTCGTAGTAAAGGTACAAAACGTCTATTCTAATATATTCTTCCTCTGGTCATCATTCATTATCATACAAATGCGCAGCAATCCTAGCTTACACGATCGATTGGTACGACTATTGTGAAAACACCACAGGCTCTAAACATGGCCATACGATATACACATTTTTACACGGATTAGTTCTCGGTGATGTGCGCGATTTCTGGGGTGATTGGGATTCTTCTCAACGATTCTAATTATTCTGTGACATTTGCTACGATATACTCTTGTGAAGAACATGGTTGTTGGAATTTTCAGTGCACACACATATGCATTTATGTTAATGTTATCCGATAGTAATTGCTGGCAACTAGAAAAAGTATGTATAAAACGAGATATTATAATCGTTCTTATAGCATATTTTCATTACTGAAAAGTGCACATAGCATTCACATATTCATCAGATATTCAATACAATCATAAGTTAATATATTAGCCGTTTAAATGCATTATAGCAATAGAAACGATTATAACATAAAGAAATAGTATTATCACTCTATCGGGCAATGATAAAAAATTAATTATAATTATTTATAGCATTATCTATCGAGAGCTTTTTTTAGACAGCAGAAAGTTCAATCAATTTTGGATGGAAATGTGTACTCATACGTATGAATAGGAAAAATATAACATCGATCTGAAACGAATAGTCTTCCTATTTATGTAAACCTATTAAAATTTATTAACGCAGAGACTTTTTCAAAATCTCTTTTATCTATTGCATTACATTTAATTATTGTAAATAATAGTATGGCCATAATTATTGTATGCAAAAACTCGTGTCAATCATTTCACAAGATGCTAGAGAATTTATCTTGCTTACGAGGTTAGTAATTAATATAATATAGATTATAATAATGCAATATTAATGTATCTACTTTTCAAGATAATATTAAAAGTTTACGACCGACATAATATTGCTGTTTAAGAATATTCTCGTATGGAAATAAAATAAAATAAAATAAGAGCACTGTGACTGTCTTTCTTACAATTTCTTTTATCAATTTTTTAAACCAATAAATAGTTAGCATATGATTTTGTACACTGCGTAAAATATCGAATACGTAATAAATGTACAGTTATCAAATCTGATTCTTACATCCAAAAACCATGTTGTACAAATATTCTCTAAATATTTTCTGTTAGAGCACTTTATTTTTTTATATATATATATATTAGTAGATCACCATAGTATGTAATTGTAACATTCACTGTAAACTTTACTTCTGCATGTTATGCATCTAACACTCATCATTCCGGAAATACTGATTTGTCACATCGTGCATCGTTTAAGTAATTACTACACTTGTACTAGTGACTAAAATATGTGTGTGTACTTTGCAATTCTCGAAATCTACTTCTATGATCAAATATCCAACCGAAGAAAATTTTTAATAAATTACCGTTTATACTCTTTCTCTTTTTGTTACTTAAAATATATATTTATATATAAGTAATTAATTCTTTTATGGCAACACCGACCACAACTAAAGAACATTAAAAATTATTCTTTCAAGTCTATTTTGGCATTTCATGTTCTTAATTATTACTTGCAAAGTAGTAAGGCTAGGAGTTGTAATTATCGTCTCTCCGGCTCCTTTATGTCCAAGCGGAATGGAAGGCTGGCTTATTCTTTCCAATCTTTCTTAATTTCGAACGCCCATTCCCATTTGAGATGTTCGTGTTTGTCGTCGTCCGTGAAGAGAGAACTGACGCTATAGGAACCTCGCGCCATGACACCAGCGGGCGCATCCTCGGCCGGAGTTGTGTAAGACTGGAGTTCTGTTTTGGGAGGATACGAGCCTACCATATGCGTCATCTTGTCCACTGAAACAACAAATTGTAGATATAAAATTTATTCAATTTTGCTGAATAAAACCAACTATACAATCTATTTACCCGTGACTCCTAATTTGCATTAGAAGCATTAATGAAAAATTAACATTATTGTAATTAATTGGAAATATAACATTGTTATATGAAAGCAAAAAATTAAATACATACCGGGCATGCCAAGGCGATAGGTCTTCTGAACATATTTCAATCCATGTACTATCTCGCGTTGCACGATAAAATCAATCCTGATTCTATAGCTTACGCCCTCCTTGATGACAAACGTTTGTTTTTTCAACTGAGTTAAATCACCAGTCAAGTCCAGCTCCATATCTGGTCGATCGACGACGCATAGCGCTAATTTCTTTACTATTACTTTTCTAGGATCACTTGGATCTACAAAAATTCAAAGGATATTTTACTAATGTGTTAATATTACAAAATAGAGGCAGTTTATTTTCTCCAGAGTTAAATAAAATTGCTGTATAATCAATCTTTAATAATAAATAAACATAAAGATAGCACTATATAAAAAATACCATTAAAAATAAATCCTGATATATAAAAAAATCATTTACAAAAAATATCAATAATCAATACAGGTAAACTTTGCAAAAATTATATAAAATCTCGTTGTGAAAATCAGGAGAGATAGTGGCTATCCTAATAGAATGTAATAAAAACAAAAAATACAGAAGAAGGATTTCGATGATAACTTGAAAAATAATTTGCATACAAAATATAAATACATGTCGCAAAGAAAATATTATATAAACGTGTAAAAAAGGCACTTACCTACTATGATACCACCAGACTTTGCTTCTCCCAAAAGCGTTTCCTTATACTTGCGCAGACTCTCGTCCTCTTTATCCGCCTCCAGGATCTGCTCGATGGTCTTCTCCGGTGGAGGCTTATAATTGGATTCCACTTCCAACTCTTCTTCCAACGCATCTACATGATCACCCGTAGGGTCAGACATCGCTATGTTCAAATCAGGAAAGATATATATATATAAAAAGACTTGCGAGAGAAAGAGAAAGAGAGAGCAAAGGGAAAATGCGTTATCGCACGATATAGAAATCTTCGCTCGCTGGTGGAAACTCGGAGAATTCGGCGGCGACGCGTCAAACGACGCGATCAGCGGCGGACAGCGGAGCGGAAAAGCGCGCGCGCCGTGTATATCGGCGAAATATTTTTAGAAAGTTCCGAGAGATCGATCTCGGGCAGCCGCGCGTAATGACAGAAACCAGCGAAACATCCTTTAATCCGTGATGCTCTCGCTTGCACTTTCTGCACTTGGAGCGAGACGTACGTTGCAAGAAAGAGAAAATAGACGAGGTGCCGAATCTGAACTCAGCAAAATTACACCGGCTCCGATTCCCGCTTTATTGCACGTTTATCTCGTTTTCAAATGCGGAAGATGTGATACAGCGCAGTTAGAGAGCTCGGATTAAAGGTTAACTCCACAAGATCCGGACTTGTCGCCGGGGAAAAAAGCAACCGCGAGAGACAACTCCTTTGATAAACATCATCGCTGGAGAAGACGCGAGTGACGGCGGATTCGCTTTATCGAGCTCGTCGCACGGTTGCTCGCACTCTCGAAAACACTCACCGTTACTTCTGAATAGCTTGACAGGCGGCTTACGACAATAGAACCGGTCCTCGTGCTCGCGGAATCTGCACCGAATTATCGGCCGATTGTTAATCTCGTTTGTCTACCCCTCCGCTTCACACTTCGCCGAGCGGAAGACATGGACAACATGGCGGCGCCTTCAAAAGGGCGGGTACTTCCTGTAGCCGCGTAACATGTGTGCATTGAGGTTATATCCCGCGAGCTTTGTGCTTGCAATCTGCATGTTTGTTGGCTTTGTTGCTAAACGCGTGTTTAGTTGGCTGATAAATGTAGAAAAGTTTATGATTAAAAATCGAGATTTTTATATGGAAACACATTTAAGACCAAATCAGTATTCAATCGCTGATAGAAATCAATGTATGCGGAATGTATTAAAAATTAAATTATATTTTAAAATCTATTTTACCTCGTGTTGTCGAATTAAATTCTGTTAGTTTTGACTCTCCTGAATTGAAATAATAAAATTTGCAACTTACTCCAGCTTTTAATTGCTTTTAATACTCAGTGTGAAAACTTAATTTTTTATAAGATTTGTATTAATAGCTTCAGCCTAATAAAATAAATTGCCAATTGCTATAATAAAATAAAATAAAATTAGTGCATTTCAAGTTATTAAATTCTATATAAATCCGTTTAAATAAGAGCTTAATTTTCTTAATCATTTTGCTGTAGTATAGAATATTAATTTTTTAATAGTTATATTTATTGCTTTGATTCAACACAATGTTGATAGAAAAATTTATACCTAGAAAAATTGACTTAATATACAATCTTGATAAAACTTACATCTATCTTAGAAATTACAGAAGTATAATATATGCAACCAGACACATCTTTCCAGAAATGAGCTTAATCTCTTTTGATTATATCTTGGCAATATTCCAAAAGTGCGTCTACTCCTACTTTATTCCTAAAATTTGGTCGGCAGTTATGCAATTTTTGTTGCAGGAACTCGGGATAAATCTTTGCAACGTGTTTTAATGCATCTAAAAAAAAATTACACTAATTACTATTACTAACATTACTTGTAAGTACTAGTACACTAAAGTATTAAAGTATTAAAATTTATATGCTAAATTAATTAAATTATATTTAAAGTTTAATTTATATTATCAAATTTATATTCTGAGAATATAAATAGATGCTAAAGAGAAGAAACCATAGCAAAAATTTGATCATTACCTAGCATTATCTCTTGGAAACGAGACTCCGGATCGTCCAGGTGAATAATCATCGTTGTGTACAGAGCGTCGATGTGACTTCTGCAGACGACAGTGTCGTAATTTTCAGGTGCAGCGTTCCACACATCCACAAGTGCTTCCACAGCAGCATAGCGAATGTCGTCGCAACCATCGTCGAGTCTTTTCAATATTACCGGATATGTGCTATGGATGTGTTGATCGTTTAGACAAGATAGCTTTTGTCCAACTGATATCAATAAACAAATGGCGTGCATGGAGTATAATCTAGTCTTCTTCGCTTTATCGTCCACTAGACTGACGAGGACGGGCACGATTTTATCGAAGATCGATGGAAACTGCTCTACTGTGATGGATATTCTAGGTTTCTCATTCTCTCGATTCGCAGACGAATCCGCTTCGTTAATTTCAGTCTTCTCATCGGGATTAATTATTTTGTTCTGCAAAATGGCGCAGAGGCAGCAAACTGCGGCTGTGCGGATAGTTTCAGCCGCCCTGCCGGCGGTCCAAATGAGTGCAGGTATAATCAATTCCTCGAGAATCGTGCTCACAAATTTATGCAAATCTTCAATGTATTGATATAAATTCTGATTGTTCGAGAAGTACTCGGAAAGCAAAATAAAGTGTCGCAGCTTTAGCTCGGGATCGGCGTCCTTGCTCATGGTTTTCTTGAGAATGAGTAACATGAGGTCCATGTTGCACGCCATGGCGATTCCGGCGCGGCTCAAAGAAGCGCAGAAAATTTGCGATTCCGCGCTGTACACTGACCACGAGGCGCAGTCGTCGTGAATCGATGCTATCAGTGGCTTTATGTGATCGTAGAAGAGATCCTCGGTGTCTTTTAGCGAGTTTATTTCAACGAGCACCTCCAGAAGTCTGTCTGCTTCCTTGCGAACGGAAGATTCCACGCTCATCGCATACGTGGTGAATATCACGGTAAATAAAGCTTGAGTGATCGATATGCAGTCCTGCAAATTAAAAACATGCATTGTTAAATTAAGAAATAAACGAATGAGAAGTTGTATAATAAAAAAAGAATTTTACTTCACCTCTTTACAAACTGAGAGAAGAGAGTTGCAGCAGGATAGTACTTGACGTTGGTAGTTGCTCTTTTTGCTTTGGCAGATATACGGCTGTTGCAAGAAGTTTGCGATTTTGTGAAGCTGTAGCGAGAGAGCTTTCCGTTCGCTACCGCTGATAATCGCCGCGAAAACACACAAGTGTCCGGCTGTCAGAGACTCCTCCAAAGTAGGTAGCACCAAATGGCAGTAAATTTTCGGATCCACGAAATAGCCTAGATATTGCGCCGCCGTTTCCACACAATGCACAACTCTCTTGTCCTCGTCATTGCAAGCCCTGTAACAAATAATGATTGATTCTGACAACAAATAATCTTAGGAGTATTTAATCTTCAATGGAAAGGTTGGAAACTTTACCGATACATAGGCGGCAAGAGCTTTTCAATATGCTGCGTAACGTTCTGCTCCACATTCAATATCAATACACAGAGCAATTGTGCAGAACGCACACGTATGTCCGGCAACCAATCTCCGAGCTCGGTGCTAATGCCATTAACAAGCTTGGACAGATTCTGCTGCGCAATCTCACGGCATCCTAAGTTCGGTCTAGGAACTAGAGATTGCAATTTTTTACAGCCTGATTCTCAATATAATCTATTGGCTGCATACATTTGCAATTTTTTTCAAATAACTCACTTCCTGGAGGATAATGCTCTGGGTCTTCAGTAAGAAAGTCCATTTTATCCTTCAACTTTGCATCATTCTCGTTTTCCTCCATGTACAATTTTCCCGCGGCATCCCACATATCTGCCGCTTTCACACGGATTTCCGCGAGCTCGTCGTGCAACCCTGTCAAAATCAAGGGTAGAAGTCTGTGCCACCAGCTGTATCTGTGAGGCAGCTCTATCAACCAGCGACCAGACACTTCAATCACAGCTGTATAATTTCAATAAGATTACACAAAATTAATATGAGTTAAAAATAAAGATTACATGTACAAAATATACCTTCTCTGACGATTCCGCTTTGATCAAAGAGCCTCTGTGCCAAAGGTGTCGCCACTTCCTCCATCGACTTGTTATTTCCATACTGAAGCGCATCGCCTATCGCTTTGACAGCAGCTAGCCGAACTCTGTAATGCTGGTGTGTAAAATTGCTTAAGATTGGTTTTATCAAATACTCGGATTGCGAGTAGAAATGCCTAGGAAGAGTTCTAGCGTAGTCTGATATGCATCTGCAACTCTCCTTCTTTACATTTGGATAATTATCCATGGCAGTGCGCGCCAGTATTCCTGTCACATCCTGGATGTATGGCGCCAACAAATCCTTATACTTTAATATTATCATTCGCAAAAGAGACACGCATTTCAACCGCACTTCTTCCGACGGTTCGATCTGCTCCTGTGCGCCCAGCCGCCTGGACATTATTGGTATAATGTAGATTATGTGCTTGTCGTCGACAGGCAGAGCTTCCAGAAATATTATCAGTATTTCTACAGTCAGATCTCGACACGTCTCTGTATTATCGTTCAACATCCTAACTAGAAATCTGTGCACGCCTTCCCAGAGTTTGATCACGTCGTCGAGTCTGTTTGACATTCCTTCCTGAGATATGGTCTTCATGATTTCCTCCAACGCTTGTCTGCGACGATTCTTCTCGTCTGCTTGTAACGAGACAATAATCTTGCTCAACTCAAGATCCATTGCTGTGTTATACAAAAAGGATACTTCTTTCTGGAATTAAGATGACGTAAAAGCATAAAACTTCATGCGAAATTGCGGAGTGCTAAGAAGAATTTACACGCGATGTAAACACTATATGTTTCCATGACAACCAGATTTGACGCAAGAGCAAGCAGCATGAATGGAGGGGATACCGCAGAAAAGAGAGAGCAGATATACTCGTTCTATCTCCTTTCTTTCGCTCCATTTTATCCGGGATTTTATGAATTGTTAACAGGAGCACATGATGAGAGAGAGGAGCTCTTCGGAGTAATGCCATCTATTGGTTAGCGAAAACAACATAACGACTGTACATGATGGTAAATGTACCAACTAGTGCAGTCTGTACACTTACCGACAATGCAATGAGTTAGCTCCTATATCATCATGTGTTCCTGTTAACATTCTTAAAATTCCGGCTAAAATGGAACGTTTTGAGTCGTTCAACGGATAAACATAACCTTTCTTTATGCTTATTTTTACTTCTGGACTACTTTTGACAGTGTTAGGATGCTCGCAAAATACTTAAATAATTAAAACGTCTTTTTTTTTTATTTTTGGAAAGTTTTTTTGTTGCAAAATTCAAAATTATTAAAGTTAAAAAAACAATGTCTTTCTTAAGGCGTCTTAAAGATGTTTTTAAAATGTCTTAAATATTTTATTAAGAATATTGAAGAAATAGTGTTGAAATAACTGCAACAAAATTTTATATCTTGAAATATATTTATTACACGTCTTGATCTAAAATACAAGGAGACTTTACATAATCATACAATAAAACTAACACTAGATCACTGGTAAGCACTGTTAAGAGTACATATCTATAAGACTTCGAATCCTAAGACTTTACAATATCTAAGGTGATGACAATATTACATCCGACTAATCGGCTTTTCAGACTATAGATTACACAGAGAAAAAATACCTACAAAAAAAAATATATATATAATTGAGACATTTGGCCAATTATTATCATTGATAAACATAAAGGATTTGTTTATACGTTTGTTTTCTTTCAAATTGGGAAATATAAAAATAGTGTAGAAAATTAAGAGACGGATATGTATTTTGGACATGGTCCCCGGCATCGAATCGTGCGTAACTCTCGACTGTCATTTATGTATGATTAAACTGTAACTTTTCATACGCATTCGGTTTCTAATCTTCCAAGGTTACATTCTTAAACAAATAAGACATCGATTCTTTGTTGTGTATACGCCGGATCGCTTCTGCTAGAAGAATACTGATGTCGACAGTCTTGATTTTCGGGCACTGCATCTTCTGCACGTCGTGAGGAACTGTATTGGTTACAACCACCTGAAAGAATTTAACGGATTTAACTTTTATTCTCACAATGTTTCACATGAAGAATCCAATGACTTCTTTTCACATCATCACCTCATCAATCGGAGATTCTCCAATGAGTCTAGGAGCGTCCGAGCTGAGCAAACCATGCGTAGCCAAAACGTATATTTTATTAGCTCCTCTCTCTTTCAGCACCTCAGCAGCTGCTACATATGACTGTACATCGTCTATCATATCATCCTGAAAATTATCTCTTGTAGATCATCATTACATAGTGTATATAGATAATATATTATGTTACTCACCACCATGATAGCAATACGTCCTCCGACATCTCCGACGACACTTATAGGTGGTTTTTCCTTCGCCGGATGCAAAGGCATACCCACACCAACGTCCATGGTGCGTGCGGCTAATGCTAGTCCGGGCGGTGAATAGCGACCGTCGTTCATGTCAGATTCGGCTTCTCTCTGTTCGCCATGAATAACTGCAATTCCTAAACGCAACCTTTCTGCGTAACTAGTCGCTTTCTTTGCGCTACCTGGATTTCTTGCAACGATCACAGAATTATGATAATCAGGAATCTGACAAAAAAGAAAAACAATTTAACAATTTAATAAAAGCACGATATAAAATAAAACATTTATACGTATGCAAGTAATACAATTACATCTCTGAATGAAATTAAACATATAATATCAATCTAATATTATTTTCAAAAAGAAAAGAGAAATATACACAAGTTTTTAATTCTAAAGTTCAAAACATTTTGTACTAATATCAAAAGATTGATATCATATAAAATAAATTGCTACTATAATCAAGATAACTTATAATAAAATAAATTATAATTTACAATAATTGTGTTATTTTCAATTTTTTCTACATACGGATTCTTGAATGTATTGCAGAAGGAATGGGCTAGCTCTCAAATTGTCCACAGGAACATCAAAGAATCCTTGGATTTCTTTCTGGTGCAGGTCCATGGTGATGATGTGAGTTAGACCGCTTGTACACAACATCTTTGCCAAGAGCTTAGACACTATGCAGCCACGCTTGCGCATTTTGCACTGTTTGGAGTAAGGTAGATACGGAATCACTCCAACAATATTTTTGGCTGATGACGTTTTACAAGCATAGGCCATAATGAGAAGCTCCATTATGTTATTGTTTACATCCTTTGTACCAGTTTGGATTAAATACACATCTTTGCCACGTACGGAATCTCCTATCTCCACCATTGTCTCACGATTTGATTTGTGATATACAGCACAGCCACCAGGTTTTATACCCAAACGACTTTGAGTGTAAAAAAATTTGAGTATAAATAAGAATTTTGGTAAGAGTTTATAAAATATTTAATTTTAATAATTATTAATAAACAACAAGCTATCTAAAACTTATATCTTTTATGTATACATAAATTAGAATTAAATGTATTTTTTTTTAATTTTAGTAATCAAATGAGTAATAGTCTTTTACTACATTTATATTTATCTATCACTGTAAAATAAAAATAATAAGATTATGGTAATACTATGTACAGAACAAACAATAATATACAATTTGCAGAAATTTTAAATCAATCATTTTTATAAATAATTAAAATTATTATCCCTTCTTTTAGCAGCACTTTTTGTATTTTTTTAAATACATTTTTTTCTTTTCTTTTTTTTAAATATATAAACTTAGTAATATAGTGCATGTCTAAAAAACAAATTTACTATAATAGTTGGTACGCAGTTGCATAACAATCATAATGATATATCAATCATATGATACTATCAGAATAGGTATAATAACAGGTAAACATTCCATATTCACATTGTACATCTCTATTGCTATTCTACTTACTTTGCTATCAAGTTGGCGAGCTCTGGATGAGAATTACCAGCGATAATGACTATGTCTGATGAAACAGGTTTCTCCATTATTTCAACAATTCAGTTGCTGTTTAATTACAATACCAAAACCCTCAGAGCAAAGAAATTTTTTCCTGCAAAAAACCTTGTCTTAGAAATTTTATCCTGAATTCTGATTTTAAAGCCATATTTTGACTCAGAATAAGTAGAATAAATAAAGAGGATTATATGTTATAAGCGAATGGAAATTCTTGCATAACACCACTACAATCTCTATATTTTAAATTAGTTTTAAATCAGTTAAAGGGACACGTTATGAACAAAATCCTTCGATAAACGCGTATAAATAAATTTTATCGTGAAACAATAAAACCGAGAATCATATATGCGCACACATACACACACATAAAAGCGGATCTCGTAATAAACAAACAATCGATCAAACACCGTCACGCATAGTACGCACTTTTGACGAAACGAAAACGTTGTGTCCGTAACGACATGAATTTAGTTATTCCTCCGTAAATCTACTTCATATTCACGCCAATTGTTATTTAATGCCGATATAATCCATTATTTAATTATAAAATTGACCTAACGAACGTTTAGCATTTTCCAGCTGCTCCTACCTCCTCGATAGTCCGGCGTTATGTGAGTCAGTGTTCCTATTCAGGTTGTTTTTGCGCATACGCAGCAGCAACGACGTATATAAATGTTATAGATATGAAACTTGTGATCGGCCTGACAGACAGATAGAATACAATTAGAATAAACACGTAAGAAAATAAACGGATAAATTGGAATTAATATTTATGTATCTTTTCCATACGTACATGCATATGTTTCGTACTTTTCATAAATTCTTAAAAACATTTCTAATACGCCTGGATGGCGGTGTTCTATTTTTCTCGCACGAGACACTACTGACTCGTATCCTACACATGCGCAAAAAACTAACTTAAACTGAACTTACTGGCCGGCCGTTTTCAAGAGTCCTTGGTGGAACTTGGTGGTTGCGTGTGATGAAACGTTAGAATTACCGATTAATTGTCAAGTGCCATATATAATAAGCAAAAAATATGTCAGGACACGTCGATATTGATCCGGAAGATACTATTACGGTCTTAGTAGCCACGGATATTCATCTCGGTTTCAATTACAGTAAAAAGAAAGGTTTGTTTTTTTGGCGGTATTTTGATAAGATAACTATAGATAAGTGTCGATAGTATAATAAATGCTTGATAAAATATAATTGCAAATATATAATGTGTCCGTAGAGTTTAAAATTATCTAATCTTCTTTTTAAAAGGTGGAAATTCCGATGATAGTTTTATTACATTCGAAGAAATATTAAAGTATGGCAAGGATAACGAAGTGGATTTTATTTTGCTTGGCGGGGATCTGTTTCATGATACTAAACCTTCGCAAACCACGTTACTTAAGTGCGTGGAATTGCTGCGAAAATATTGTCTGGGTACCAGGTGAGTGATATTTATATTTTTAACCAAAAATTAAGAATGTGTATTATAGCAGTTTGATCTTGTTGCCAGGGAATGCAAGCTGGAATTCTTGAGTGATTCAGAATTGGTATTTCGACATTGCGCACAAAAACATGTGAATTATGAAGATCCCAACTTGAACATCTCAATGCCAATATTTACTATCCATGGAAATCATGATGATCCAAGTATGTAGCTTGTTTAACTTCTCATTAATTGTCTCATGTTCCATAGATATCATACAATTCTTATTTTGGGTTATTTTACAATTATTTAGACTTTGGTGCTGTTGGTTCAATGGATATACTGTCAGCTACTGGATTTGTGAATTACTTTGGAAAATGGACAGATCTTAATCGAGTGGTTGTACCTCCTATAATTTTGAAAAAACATAACACACATGTTGCACTTTATGGCTTGAGTTACATCAATGATCAAAGATTGTCCAGATTGTATAGGGATGAGAAGGTACATTTATTTCGGATATATTTCTATATCTAGCAATGATGAGAGATTGATATAATTTTGTATGTCAATAGGTGGAATTATTACGTACGAAAGACATAGAGCCTTTCAACATATTTGTCTTACATCAGAATCGTGTTAAGCATGGCGATTATGCTTATGTACCAGAAAGCAAACTGCATAAATGGCTCCATTTAGTTATTTGGGGCCATGAGCATGAATGTCGCATTTCCCCTGAATTTAATGTAGAGGGTGGATATCACATTTCCCAACCAGGTAAAGTTGCATGTTTTCTCTTATGATTTTGTGTACACAATATTGAGTGTTGTTTCAGAATTTACCTAAAAATTACTATTAAAAATATTACAACTTTTAGGAAGCTCCATTGCTACCTCTTTGTGCGAAGGTGAATCAAAGCCCAAACATGTGGGTCTCTTAAAAATAAATAAGAAACAGTTTAAAATGAAAAGTTTAAAACTAAAGAGTGTTCGACCATACATCTTTGACAACATGATTCTTTCCAGTCATGACATTAAAATAGGGGATTGTGTCTCGGTAGCAGATTCTGTAAGCCAATATGTAGATAGATATATTGAAAATGAGCTGATACCTAAAGTAGCTGAGCAGTTTACAGGTATGTTAATTATCTCAAATGCTATTTTTTGAATGTCATGTAGATTTGTTTAAAAATAAACGACATTTTAGGATATCCTGATCAACCGCATCAACCTTTAATTCGATTGAGAATACTTTATGAAGATGATAATGAACAGTTTGATACACTAAGGTTTGAAGCTATTACATAATTATGTTGTATTATTATATCTTTTTGTTTAATTATTTATTGGTATTTCAACGAAACTTATACTTTTAGTTTGGCACAAAAATATTGTGATGAGGTTGCTAATCCAATGGAAATGATTATATTTCGTAAAATGAAAAAAGAAGAAAAAGTAAAATTCGCTATTAATGGTGAACTTGATGATTTGGACGATATTTCAGAATTATTTCATGGAGATGTAAACAAAATATTTTTACTTTTTATGAGACATTGGACTGATTTTGTTTATTTTATATTTTACAAATGCCTATTTTTTTTGCAGCTAGAACAGGATTGGACTAGCACAGTGCCAGGAGGAATTAAGAAGTATTTTGATAAGGAAGAAAATAGAGATAAGTTAACAGTGTTGACTGTAACAGCATTAAACGAAGCATTGAGTCGCTTTGTTGATCGAGGCGACATAGATGCCTTTAGAAATATCGTAAGGTAATCAGTGTGATAATTTATGTTTAGGATTAATATTCTACTTATATCTAAATCATCTTACGTTTCTACTTATCAGAGATCAAATGAAAAGAACCATCGAATATGTGAAAGCACAAGATGTCAAAACGCCGCAAGAGATTAATGAAGAAATAAAAAATTTCCGCGATAAAAGACTTTCGGAAGAACAAGAGGAACAGAACAATGTAATGACATTTGTATAAGATACTTTTTTTTCTATCATCTATAACACATTATATTTTTGCTTACTGATGATTTTTTTGCAGGCTATAAAAGCGTTGAATAATCCCTTGCAAAAGAATGCTCCAAAAAGGACTCAACAAATGCGCTTATCAGATCTGACAAACAGTGATGATGATGATAATGAAGATTTAACTTTGATATCAAAGAGTAAAGGGAGAGGTAGGGGCACCTCCAGAGGTGGTAGAGGATCCAGAGGAAGCCGTGCTAGAGGAAAAGCTGATGTAAGGAATTAATATTTTACAGCATGCTGATAAGTAATGTACTATTGTTGAGTAGCATGTTTATATATTTGATGAATATATAATTACCTTTGAATATATAATTACCTTTTTTTAATAGAATCCCAGAGGTGCACAGTTGAAGAAAAGGAATAGCGAACAATGCATTGTGATAGACGATTCCGATTAATTATTAAACATTATTATTAAGAATATTATTAAGCGTTTTATGAGAGAAATCCTATGCGTATGAAGAACATACGTATTTTTATTTGCAGAGATTTTTAATTTTTTTATAATTATGTATAAGTAAATATTACTTTTTATTATATGTGCGAAGTATAATTTTAATAAATATTTATAACATTTTAATAAATATTTATTCTTATTTTATTTACTCCAGCTATATATAAGGAAATTAGATAAATGTAAAATGTAATATAATTTTAAAAAAATTTTATACCTGAAAGTATGTATATACAAGATGCGACGATAGTATTCAATTATCACCTATATGTAGATGCTATTATTTCCGGAAAACGAAAGTTTGATTGGCTATCACGGTATTCCCTAGCATTGTCATGTTCTGTTGGCAGCAGTCATTCTACTGTACCGGAAATAATGCTCTTTTACGGTTCCCGTGTAAACTGTGCTGGAACGGAAAGATTGTAGTTATTACAATTTGCAGGTATTTCAACAAAAAATCTAGATTATCTAGCAAAAATATTAAGTAAGGATCATTAAATGGGTGCTTATAAATAAATTACAATTGCGAAATTATTTTATATCGAACACAATGCTTGGATGTAGCCGGATCATTGCGTACGAATGGTGTACTTTCTCTTATGGGCATTGTGATATAACCTATGAATCTGTTTCGAATGTTTATGCAGCGTGATATTCTTGTAGACAACACAGAAGCTATCGAATTGCAGATTAATAATCACATACCTTAATTTCTGATCTAGAAATGCCGCCGAAAAGAGGAAAAGTACAGAAGGAAGAAGTTCAAGTTTCTCTTGGACCACAACTTCGCGAAGGAGAAGTGGTTTTCGGAGTGGCTCATATTTTCGCCAGTTTTAATGACACATTCGTACATGTAACCGATTTGTCGGGCAGGTATGTGTTGTGCTAAATAATGTAATTGTGGCTACGTTTTAATATTCATTGTCAATATTGAAATCTATAGTTCACGTTACATTTCAGTATTGGCAGTGAATATCGGAATGCAGCTTGTAGTTTTGCAATTTTATGATATATAATTGTGTCCTTTCTAATTCATTAGGGAAACGATTGCCAGAGTTACTGGTGGTATGAAGGTAAAGGCTGATCGTGATGAAGCATCGCCGTACGCAGCTATGCTTGCTGCTCAGGTACGTGATTTGGTCAAGATATTAGCACTTTGTTGTCCACATCCAGGCAGCACCTAGACAATAAATTGTATAATCTGAGGAGCGTTCATGTTTGTGGAAAAGCAATTTCTTTTTTTTATTATTGAATGTGCTCCTGTTTTGCACCTTCTTTAAAAAAAAAGAAAACATTTGAATTTTATTTATGTGTACATGTGAAATATATTAATTAACACATCGTTTAACATATATACAATAATATTAAACTTCTAACCATAAGATGTGATCTTCTGTTTTACAGGATGTCGCAGAAAAGTGTAAATCACTAGGCATTACAGCACTGCACATCAAACTGAGAGCTACGGGAGGTAATAAAACAAAGACCCCTGGTCCTGGCGCACAATCTGCACTGCGTGCTTTAGCCCGTTCAGGCATGAAAATTGGTCGTATTGAGGATGTCACCCCTATTCCATCAGATTCTACTCGCAGGAAGGGAGGTCGCCGTGGACGCAGGCTGTAGATCGCTATGGCCATTTATATGTTTTATCTTTCAATAAATATTTAAAGAAACAAAGTGTTGCATGTGTTACACACTATATATTTTCCCCCTAATATTCCTACATAGATAAAATTTTTTAGACATATATATATATTACATACATTCTTTATTACAATATTTAAAAGCAGATAAAATTTTACATTGTAAATTACTGTAAGAAAAAATTAGCATTATTAGAATACAAAGATTCTTAATTACATTACATACAAAACATAAATAAGCATATAATACAAGCTAAAATATTTCGATTTCCTAATATTGCAATAATTTAAATGGCTATCGACAAAAGTGTATAAAATATTTATAATGCAAAGACATTACATGATATAGTGATGTGTAATATATTCATACTCTAAACCGAAAAAAGAATTACTCTTCATTAACTAGCTGACCAACAGTGAGATACAACTTAACTTTCACATCTACTTTTTGCGGTGATTTATGCTCAAGCGCTGCAATAGTATTCACATATCCATGTTGCATAACAAATCCGATTATAACTGATTTTTCTTTATTTTCTTTAGTATCTTCATGTGGAGTTACGTGCAGACGTACCACAGCTTTATTTCCCTTTCGCCACACTACGAGCCTAAAAAGAAACAAATTATGAGAAACTCATATAACTTTTGTAAAAGATTTATACAAATTACTTTACATACTTTGGATCATCCTGAAAATTATGATTATCACTTGTATCGTCGTATTCAGCAGCATCGTCTCTCGGCGGAAGGATTAATGGATTTTTAGGTAGTATTAAATCTGCATTCGGTGTAACCTTTATTGACTTAGGATCTTCTGTTACGGGTGCCTGCCGTACAGCAGAGGGCAATAGGTTCGGTGATTCACATCCCTGTAATTATAATCAATTCATTAGAATATGCCATACATTTTTATACCATTATAAATTCGATATTACCTGTTGTGTATCTTCCTCCTTAACATCTTCTTTTTCCTCGACGATCGAGGTAGTTAACGAGGCGTCTAACGGCAATATAACTATTTGAGTCTGATGTTGTGTCGGATTGCAGAATTTTAAAAGCAGTTCACTCGTTTTTCCCGGCCGAAGTGGTTCGCATGTAACAATCTTCACCTCCGGAATGTGATAACTGAAAAAAACAATTTTGGTTAATACGAAAGCATATAACAAAATTATTTCACGACTAACAATCGATTTTTTAACATAATACTTACAATGCAGCTAGTAAAATCTTGAATTTCGTAGATTGAGGGCAGAGGTCTGATTTACTGACATTATGCTCACATACTCTGCAACGTTGCGATCTTTTGACTAAAAATTGTCTATGTTGGGGACGCAACTCATTAATCTTCTCGGCTTGCACTTCTGGGTGTTGTAGTCTTTGTTCCAACGTGGTAACTGTTTTAGAAATATATATACGCTAGGAAAAATTTATTCTTACACTGCCATAATCTCGTACAAATTAAAAAACTTTCTTACTTTTAGTTATATCCACAGATTCGGTAAATATGTCGCTCGGTAATTCTTCCACTTCCTCGCTTGCAACGGATGGTACTGGTTGAGCAGTTGATTGAGATTGCGTTGGCTGCTTTAGGGGACGTCCGTTTACGTAGACTACGAATTCTTTTACACGTTTACGAACCAGTGCAGATGTAAAACTGAACATTGTCCGCTATACACAAATAATGATAATTAAAAAAGTGCATTTAAATAAATACATAATGAGCTTTCATGTTTGTGACATATCAAACTCACAGCTGGTATAAAGGAGCGTTTGGGAAACTTTTTCCTTTCGCATTGTTGCTTCTCTATAGAGGCTAATATCTTATGATAATCGATAAGAGCATTAATACGTATTGTATGTGGATTTTCCTGTTCCGGCCATCCTCCAGTTGCTAGGCAAAAAAATTAAAAATAGTTTTTTAAATGTTCCACTTAAAATATTATAAATTATATACCATTAATATTATTTGGTGTTAAAATTTCTTACCTACGGATTGATCAGGTATCCCAGCATCGCGAGAACTCCATCGACACATTGAACAGAATAGATAATATACTTTCTTAGGAGTAGCTTTAACATCCTTGTTTTCTTCGCCCTCTGCTCCTGTTGGTTTTAGTCCAGGTGCTAGCCCTGCTCTTGTAGATAACGTTTGAAAGCAGCAAGGACAATCAAAGCAATTGGAACATCTGTAAACATATTATTATTATCATATAATACTATTTCTAATATATAAAATCTAAAATATGCAAACATACTTGTTCTTTTTAAGTCGTACTTCTGATGAAGGCAAATTTTCCATACAATTGGGACAGTAATGAGAGTCAACCTGAATAATACAGATATTTTACTTTCATAATAAACACAAGTTTTGTACAGAATGGAATATGTTTGTAATAAATCTAATTATCAAAAATATTTCCAATTACATCTTTCTATTCGGATTTGCTTATAAATTTCAAGACACACCTCTTGACAGACACAGTAGCCGCATCGTATTTTCAAGCAGTGTCGACAAAAATATATTTTCGATATAGGTTTTAAGGAGCCGCAGTTGCATACATAGCGCACGTAATTCGGTTGATTTAAATAGGTCATATTGAGATAACTGGTCTAAAAGCTTGCAAGACAAAATAACAGAAGTGTCACTTGATGAGAAAATGGTTTGCACGATAACCTAAAAGCGTAACCATTTTCTTCCCGATGACATCTTCTGATATCAATGGTGCCAACATTAATTTTGCATACAGAGACATCTTGTGACGAATTTATATTGCGTCCAGTTTCAAGTATCCAATAAAAAAGGGTGATTTTTAGGGACATTATCTATCGATAAAGGCTGAAATGTGAGACTCGTTTACATCTGCGAAATGCATTCTTAAGTTTTTCTACTTCATGGTTAACATGTGCAAATAATTGTCAAATGGTTATAGTCGCTTTTTATTCAAAGTTATTAAAAATCATCTACTTTTAAAAATCTTCGTGAGAAAAGACATTAAAATAGTGCAAGAACATGGTAAAAATATATATTACATAATGGTAAATATAAATAATTTACTTTATTAAATTATTTTTCTCATATTTTTTCAGTCGCATGCAGCAATGCAAAGGGAAATTGCGAAAGCAAAGAAAATCCTGCATCCAAATAGTCGAAAGGCAATTGCAATTGCAAAGAGAACTACAAAGTAAGAAAATTTTACATTGATGTAAAAAGTAAAACCTTTCGAAGCATTATACATGTGTAATAAATTGATGTTATTTTTCAGAATTTCACACAGACAGGACAGTAAATTGGCTACTATGATAAAACAAAATTTGGTGGGAGAAAAGATTATGTGGATGAAAGAGCATATGAATTTTGACGTATGTCCATATACTCCAGAACTCACAGGAGAACTACTTGTTAAGTATGCAGAACTATTTTTTATTTTTGCACAAGTTAAAGAATTTCTTAGATGTATTAATTTTGTTAGACCAAATTAATATATTTTTATATTTTTATATGAAGGTATATTGCAAGAAATGATGAGGAACTGGAACAAATTGCCATAAAGCGTTCTATAGGACCAAAAAGAGCCACACAACATGCTACACGAGAAAGTATCATAAAAATGACTAAACAAAGGGAGTGGGAAGAGTTTAACACTTGTGGAATTGGTATATATAATTATTTTTTTTTTTACAATATATCAATTTACAGATGGTTAATAATTCAACCTTTTTCTAATATAGAAATTCCTGATATTTTAAATCGAAGGCAACATGAGATGTTAAGGAAGTGGGGTGGTGAATTGAAATTTTTACCTAATTTTAAGTTTCGAAGATTTGGGAAACATCATATGATAAAGGCAATGGCAAAGGCAGCTGTAAATCAATCTACAAATATCATTGAGTCTTCTGTTTCAAGTCCAAAAGACAGTAAAATTAAAAATATTGAGAGCAGCAGTATAGAAAGTAAGGAATTAAACTGTTTGTCTGAAAATGTCACAAATGAATGTCAAATGGCTGTAGAATAATTCTAGTATTGAATGTAAAAAGGTATAAATATAGGATGAATTATATTGTTACAAAATCTTTTAATCATTTATCTTCTACTAAATCCAAAAATCTGAAAAAACAAAATTAATAAGATTTAATATCACAACACAATATATAATATTATATAATACATTAATTTAAATTACATTTTTATTTAACTTTAATGGACAATGATCTTATTATATTGGCAATATATAAAATGCAAAAATATTTTTCCTAAATTATAAATATTAATCTTATGTTTATATGCTCATGTGCTAAAGAGAAATCGTTTTCTGATATTTTTCTAATTTCAAAATTCTAATTTTTCGCTGAACTTCGTACAAAATTACTATTCGCGCATTTTTCTGCCTTAATATACCGGAAATACGTATATGGATGAAAGTAGAAGGATTCGTGAGCATACGGTTATGAAGTACCATCACGCGATGGTATGTTAGGTATAAAACCCAGCCAAGCGTATAGAACAGTTGATAATTATCGTGTGTACTTCTACGAATGCGCGGAGATGTTAAGAGAATAAGAAAAATCTCGAAGGCGAGAGAAATTGATCACAAAATGTTTTCCTATTGTAAACACTTCGAGCAATGAATCGCAGGAATCCGGTGAAGACTTCCTGTGCGTTATGCAGCTGCGTGTCGATACGGCAATTGCAGCCGCAAAGAATTTCTCTGGACGCCCGCGGACCATTCTGGCGGAAAGAGAGAAGGGCGACGATCACGTGAGTAAGAGTGAAAGTTAGCGAAGCATGCCCCGCATATTATCAGTATCCTTCTCTCTGTATAATAAAATATGATCGATTCCTAATTGACGCGTTTATGCGCCGAAGAAAAATAATACTTTGTTTATCCCGTTAATTGGTCGAACTAATCATTAAAAAAATGATTATACGATTATAAATATA